TTTTCATGCTGAACAAAAAACATGGTTGCTCTTACACATGAGTAAAACCTAAAAAAAAATGTACATCTTAGCTAGCCAGAGTGCACATTACGTTGATTTCTAATATTTATACCACTGCTTACTGAAAAAATATTATGTGATTGTGGCCATTTTTGTGTTAGCTCTGGACATTAAGTGAAACTTATTACCTTTTCATTTTGAAGCCGGACGTAGGTATTGATTTTCCCTTAGCGGCGGAGGATGCGTATACAATTGTTAAGTTTTCTGCTTAAGTCAGTTTGATAGAAGCAACTTGTGATACATCAATGCTATTTTTGTCGAGCCTGCGACTTTTGTCGCAGAAAGCTCGACATAGGGATAACGATCCAGCGGCAGCTTTAGCTAACTTCTTAAAAGCTTTATATTTTAGAAGCTAGAAGACCTGGATGCTTCATACTTTGTATATAGATGCCTTATGTTACGAAGTTTCCGTCTGTCATATGTCCATTGTCCTTGACCTCATTTTCATGGTTCAGTGACTACTTGAAAAAAAAGTCAACATTTTTTGTAATGTTAATTTCTTTCTTATTATGAATAATAGGATAACTATATTTAGTATGTGCGTACCTTGCAAGGTCCTCATGCCCAAGGGTCCGGAAACGGTCATATTTGCCAGTCATATCCTAAGATAAAACTATTTGTCCTAAACGAGTAATTGGGATTTAGGACAAATTTTATTTTTATACAGAAGTAATTTCGGTCATTTCATTGACTCAATGTTTGAAATCGGATTTCGTAATCGCCAATTTGCACTTGTGATCACTTGTTTTTGTTTATAATCCCTTTCCTGTAATAAAACTGCCACTACAGTAGTTTGATAATCCTGAGGGTCCTCCTAATATCTATATCAATGCCTCCGGGAAACATAGGCTAATGATCGCTAATCACTTTTTACCTGTGGTTTTAATTCACACCTGACAGTGATCACAAGCTCAGAATAATATCTTTAAAACATTAAAGTTCCCTGACAAGTGTATTCATTATTTATTTACTTTTCATCAAAGACAGTCATCAATTCTGATTTAAAAATTAAATCTAAATTTACGTAGAAAAAAGTATTTTTTCATGAGTAACACATGTGCTTTAATTACCATGTAATACGCATGCGTGAAATTGTCTTCAACAAATTTAATATTTTATCGTAAAATGCAAATTGATTTCATGCTAAATTAAACGTGTGCAACTATTACCTGTTATATTCAAACACTTTTAAAGGTAATAAAATAAAAAAGCGATAAAAAGCCGGTGATTTCCTATCAATTTGATAAACAAAACAAATCCCGGAAATGAATCCGGAATTATTCGTACTTTAAAATATCGCAAACTTCCGGTTTTAACTTTTGTCAAATCGAAAGAAACGTAAGCAATGTCTGAGAAATTAACCATTTTGAGTCATTAAAATCATTTCAATTTTAGACTGCTGCATTCCCTAAACTGTCCTTCATGGTAATGGTAAGACATTTACTTAGTAAATGCGATGAAACAGCAATACAAGTTCGTCATGTTCGTTGATGCTATGAATATAGTCAAATTGATATCGACAATTTGAAAAGGGGCACCAACTTTTCAAACATCTCAAAATGACCGAAATTGTCTGGAAAAATTTCCGGATCCTTGCTCATGCCCGTCGGACAATTTTCATTTGACCTCAACCTCATTTCATGGATCAGTGAACAAGGTTAAGTTTTCGTGGTCAAGTCCATATATCAGATGATATAAGCAGTAGGTCTACTATTTTTGGTATATGGAATGATTGTAAGGTGTACATGTCCAACTGGTAGGTGTCATCTGACCTTGACCTCATTTTCATGGTTCAGTGGTCAAAGTTAAGTTTTTGAGTTTTGGTCTTTTTTTCTAATACTATATGCAATTAATAGGTCAACTATATTTGGTGTATGGAAAAATTTTATGATGTACATGTCAGTCTCGCAGGTTTTATTTGACCTTGACCTCATTTTCACGGTTCATTTCTCAGTGTTAAGTTTTTGTGTTTTGGTCTGTTTTTCTTCAACTATAAGCAATAGATCAACTATATTTGTTGTATGGAAGGATTGTAAGGTGTATATGTCTGTCTGGCGTTCATTGGTCAATGTTAAGTTTTCATGGTTAAGTTTGTTTCTTAGATACTATAACATGTTTAAGCAATAGGTCAACTATATTAAATGCATAAATTGATTGTAAGGTGTACATGTCTGTCTGGCATGGTTCATCTGACCTTGACCTCATTTTCATGGTTCATTGGTCAATGTTAAGTTTTCTTGGTTAAGACTGTTTCTTAGAAACTATAAGCAATAGGTCAACTTTTGGTTTATTGAATGATTGTAAGGTGTACATGTATTTCTCGTTTGGTTTATCTGACCTTGACCTCATTTTCTTGGATTATGTTAAGTTTATGTGTTGCTTGTAGTAAAGCTTTATATTTAGGACTATCAACATAAAATCAATGGTTAGTAAAGAAGGTAAGACATTTCAGCATGTGCACTCTTGTGTATAAAGTCAGGGTAGTTATCTATTATCAGCAATGCCTCCAAAATTAACATAATATCAAATCATCTTAAACATTATGGTTTGGTATGCAAGTATGTAAGAAGTTATAGCAGATCTCAAATTTCATATTACCTTAGATAGGACTAGATATGCTATCCTTTTATTTTCACCTATAAAAAAAGAGGTAGAAGATAATAAAGGGATAATAAAAAATCATTAATGTAAATTCAATGATTTATGTGATGTTTTTATTATTAGAAAATGACGCAGTCAATTTTCTTTTACCATTGACCAGACTTCCAACCCGCATTCGGAACTCGGTTCCGTATTTTACATACTTAAAGTGAATGTTAGTTGCTCATACATTGGTAAAAGAAAGACAACTCCAGCGTTGCAAATGTACATTTTTTTAAATATAACAGATGGTGTTGTCTCCCTTCAATATGTCTTGTTGTGGACAAAATGGTGGTCATTAACCTTCGTGACCGTCGGACAATTTTCAATCATATTGTTGGAAATACAACTGGAACAGAATTAAATTTGTAATTTTCATTCTTTAATTTCTTATCCTGTAATACCTGCCAACTTGCACGATTCAGGCGTGAAATACTCGATTTTGACCCCTTGTCACGATTGCACGATTGTGATCGTGTAAAAACCTCTAAACCACGATTTTGTTAAATTCTACTGTTCTCAATTTTGAACTTTGCTCAAACTTTTCCCTAGGGAGACAACTGTGATCAGCCAATCAAAATAGTTGTTTCTCCTGATCTTTGGGTATTGTAAACTGCAAATGTGCTAAATTTTGAACTTGTTAGGAACTCAGAATATTGTCGAAATCGTGATCATGGCAGACCAATTTTCAATTACAAGAAGGTTCTTACACAGCTTAAGAAGTAAATCATGACTGATTGACAAATTTCAAAGATACAGTTCAACCATAAACATAATAAACAGTAGCTAATGAACAAATTTTACACTTATGGTAACAGATCAGGACATGTTGTCATTCTTGAAATTAAATTACCAAATCAATTAAAGTGCAATGTTCTATCTTTTAATTTTCACAAGGAATCAGATATATTTCCTTCTTTGTGCATATTTTTATATTTGAAAAGTCAGCAATCACTTTAGTATTCCTGTGACCAATAATCTGATAATCCACTTTTAAGGTTCATCTAATATACACCATGAAATTTTCCCTGAATGCAGACAAAACTGTGTAATTCTAATAGTTTTAAATCCTGGCAGCACCTGGCTGCATCTGGCCACAACTCCTCTTTTTCCTGTGGTACCTGAAAACAATAAACCGGTTTGGTACATTGTTGAGGTCTATCTGAAAGTGACTTATAACTGCCAACAGCCACATTATTTGGACTCTGGTAGATAGTACATCAGACTGTTATCTCATTGGCAATCACACCCCATCTCCTTATTTTATTACGGGTCAATTATTTGAAATAAATGACTACGGTACTAAACATTAAATCATTTAAAAAAAAATAATTTTGCAATAATTTATGTTGTCATTTTAAGATTTCAGTGTAAGCTTGCTTACTACAGGCTCTTCACAATGAAATTAAGTTGTATAAATGGTGTCACTTTGTTTGTAATTGTGAAACTAGTATAACAATACTATTGTCTAAATCTACAGAAATTGATCATGTTTAGGTAACTGAAATAACAATGTGATTATGTCACTAGGTCACCTGTAACTTATCTCTTGAATAAGGACTCTGTTGGGTATAAGAGCTTTCTTACTACAGGCTCTTCATAATCATTTTGTTAAATAATTCTACAAATAAGGGAAACAAATTCACATATTACTTTGAATGTTGTAGATTGTTCAGGTAGTCTTGAGCTATTTCTTTGTACAGCAGAACAACTAGTAGTTATTTTCACTTCACACACATATATATATATATATCTTGACAAGCAAATAAAAATGCTATAGATTGTGGAAACAATTCATATCTATTCTATCAGTCACCCTATCTACCATAAACTGAAACGTCGCCTAAGATTCAGTAGGTAAATTAAGTAAAAATCAAGACTTGCATCAAAAATATCCCAATATGAGAGACAATGGCGTCATTTTTACTTAGAGCTTTCAGCTCTTTGATTGTGAAATTTGGTACGGGACAGGTTTTTCAAAAATAAAAACTGGCATTTTAAAATTTCATAGCTTTATATGTGTGCAGCATTTCCTGAAATCCTAATAATTAAACTGGCACTTTTGTCAAATGTTCCAACTAGCCCAATAATAAATGGTAAAAAATTACTGATTTTCAATACCCATTTGTTCATCTGATTTCATTACTCATAGGGTGACAAATGATTGTCTATATTTGATGTCTTGTCTATATTTTCGATCTTGTTATGGGAAATTATGTTTATAGGTTTTGTCTGTTATTCAATTCCATTGTGTTCATTTACTGATTTTAATGAAATATGATGCATTTTTTATTTTTCAGTGCCAAGACATTCTCGGATCTAAGAAAGCATTCAGAAACCCACACCGAAGCTCCATTCACTTGTCATTTTGCATCTTGTAATTATGTAACAAGGTCCTTTGCTAGTCTTACCAATCACTTCAAACGAAAACATCAGGTAGGTTCATAGGTCAGACAGAAACTCAAAAGCCCCTGAAAAACATCAGGTAGGTTCATAAGTCAGACAGAAACTCACAAGCCCCTGAAAAACCATTAGGTAGGTTCATAAGTCTAGAACTCACAAGCCCTGAAAAACATCAAGTAGGTTCATAAGCATGATTCTAAGTCAGACAGAAACTCACAAGCCCCTGAAAAACATCAGATTCGTTCACAAGTCAGACAGAAACTCACAAGCTCCTGAAAAAACGTCAGGTAGGTTAACAAGTCAGACAGAAACTCACAAGCTCCTGAAAAACACCAGGTAGGTTCATAAGTCAGACAGAAACTCACAAGCCCCTGAAAAACATCAGATTCGTTCACAAGTCAGACAGATACAAGACCATGAAAAACGTCAGGTAGGTTCACAAGTCAGGCAGAAACTCACAAGACCATGAAAAACATCAGGTGATTAACAAGTCAGGCAGAAACTCACATGACCATGAAAAATATCAGGTAGGTTCATAGGTCAGACAGAAACTCACAAGACCATGAAAAACGTCCGGTAGGTTCATAGGTCAGACAGAAACTCACAAGACCATGAAAAATATCAGGTAGGTTCATAGGTCAGACAGAAACTCACAAGACCATGAAAAACGTCAGGTAGGTTCATAGGTCAGACAGAAACTCACAAGACCATGAAAAACATCAGGTAGGTTCAAAATGTTATAGCAACTATAAGACCCTCAACTTTATTAATAATGGACATTTCAAGTATTTCACATCTCCTGATTTCTATATTTCTATGTTTAATAGTTGGTATTGAGGAGTAATGAAAACTCGTAAACAATATATTGTGCACATTTATATACTTTGCCTGCATCTAGATGTTGGCAAGGAAATGTGTAAATGTTTGCTTGGTATAATTAGTTAATACGGTAAGTATTAGACATTTATGTAGTTATGTAGGATAATTCTAAGAAAAGGCTTAATTTCCATTTTCCCTTTTCACTGGAAGTTGAAATGTTAAATAGAAGAATCTATACCACTTTAATAAACCACATTAACTCAAATGTAGAGATTATATGTTGAGTACCATAGATTGAAAATATATTTCTTGTGTTTCTACCTTTTTATTGTGAAATGTATATGATAGATAGAAACTGTAAGCAGCTTTGATTTAAAAAAAAAACCAACCAAATTGACTGAAACTACCAATTGACTTATTTTAGGAGTTGTTGCCCTTGAATGATGATTTTTGACTAATTTTAAAGTTTTTACTTATTATTGTGAAAATAATTATAGAAAGAAACTGTTAATGCAAAAATGGTCAGCTATACAAGATATGCAAAAAAGACAAATGACTGAAAAATAGAAAAACATTAGTAAATGCTATACATTGATACCAGGTTAATAATAGAATCTTCATAAAGCCTTTACTCCTCCAGATGTATTAATTGTCTTTGATACTTTCTGTTGCAGGATGTAGCTACACAGAACTATGCCTGCCATGTTTGTTCGTCAGTATTCACCAGAGGTTCTAAACTAACAGTACATCTGAAGAAGAAACACAAATTTAAATGGCCATCTGGTCATTCTAGATTTAGGTATTTATATTCAATGAATGTGTAAAATGTTAGTAGTTTTTGCCTTATAATAAGCGGATGCTGACCTGTTGGCACCATCATTAGCAAAGTGTATTAAGCTTTATATTTTAAAAGGCAAAAAAGCTGGTTTATAAATCAATACGAGGTGTCTGTCTGGCATGTTTCTAGCAAAATATACCATATAGCGTGTTATTATCGCTGGTGTAAAATTTCACGATTTTTATTGAATAAGAAAATATTTTGGCGGTATTTATTTTGGAGTATTCAAAACTTTTCTACAATACCATTGCATGTGCACTTTTAAATTGGCGGAATTTAGTTTGGCAATTTTGTTCTATCAGCGAAAATTTACACCCTGCAAAAATAACCCGCTTTGTTTTGATTATTCTTATTTGTTCTTTAAATGTAACTTTATAAACAAGCATAATCTATTTTTTGTTTACCAGGTATAAAATGCATGAAGATGGATACTTAAGATTACAGACAGTACGTTATGAAAGTATGCAACTTAGTCAAAACCAGGACTCAACAGATGGCAGTGAATCAAAAGACGTCAATGAAAACCAGGACAAATATGTTGTCGTACATGATCAAAGTTCTGAAATGATCTGCAATGATGATACGGACATGGAAATGGATGACACAAATCCTCCGTCTGATGTTGTTACTATAGCAACGGGAGATGAATCTACGGGATATGTAATTAAAACCACAGATTTACAAGGACATCAGATTTGTGATATAGGAAATATTGTCAACATGGTTAATCAACCATCAGAAAAAACAAGTGATATTGGAAGCACCATTACTATTGTAACTCAACCATCAGAAAAAAGTTGTGATGTCGGAAGTATAGTGAGCATGATACCTCATCCATCAGCAAATGTCTGTGACATAGGAAATATTGTTTCCATGGTGACTCAATCATCTGAAAATTCACACATAGCAACTTTAACAGATTTAGATGGAAGTGGACAACCAAGGGAGATAAATGTGACTATAGTAGAGGCCCCAGAGGGTGGATTTCAAGTTGTTGATTTATCAACAACAAAAAAGAAGAAAGAGAAACACATGACCTATAATTTAGAAATGTTAAGTGATGTTGCTATAACGTTACCTGGTGGGGCTGACCAGAGTGAGGAATTATGATTTCAAATCAGTTTATTTATTTATTGGTGCTCTGTAATTTGTTAATGTGCTTTAAATCCTAAAACAGAAGATGGTGAAAAATATATGGCCAGTTTATATGTATGTCAACAAACTTTAGTGGCTTTATTGATTGAATTATTATTTTGTTACCTAATTTCTAAGCCTTTTTACAATTTGAAATTGTAATGCAAAATGTAGATATATTTTCGACACTTGTAGAAAGACTTATTAGTTTGTTAGTTTCAGTTTTAAATATGCCTTTGTTTGATATTTAGATAAAAACAAAAATTAAATAAATTTTGACAATTAAATTGGGTAAGAAGAATTGAATCCAAAATTTTTTATACAAAGATGAACTTATATCTTTACAAACTGATGCTTTATATCCTTAAAACCCATAATTGTCCCCTGTGTGATGCATTGCAGGGGGTCTTAACAATACTGTGTGTCCAGCTGTCTGTCTGTTTGTCTGTCCATCTAGTCTTATAAGCACTCTCATGTGTACAATTCTTACCAGATTTTTTATGAAATAATATCAAAGGTTTATATCAGCAATGTCTCAGACAAGTTGGAAAATCAGTGCTAAACAACTATTTTTAAAGGAGTTATGCCCTTGAATATATAAATTATATGAAAAATTGCATTGTAATCTCTCTCAAGTCTATAATTCTAGCCAGATATTTATGAAATTTATATCAAAGGTTCATATCAGCAATGCCTCTGACAAGTTTGAAAATCAGTGCTGATCATCTTCCAAAAAAGAGTTATGCCCCTTTGAATATTAATTACAGTCGATTCTCGTTATCTCGAAGTCAGCCGGACCAGAGAAATATTTCGAGATACCCGTAGTTCGACTCAAACGAAAACCGGAAGTCTGACAGTCCAAGGGACATAAATCTTGCTTAGCTTGGTAAGGCTAAAATAAATCCGGATGGGAAGGGGATCGATATTTTGGTTTCAGATCGATGTTTTTGTTTGTTATGGTCTTTTAATATTATAATAACATTTTATGTCTCTTATTTATTTCTTTGTACAGTTACAATTTGTCCCTTTGGCTTTTAGCCGGTTGAGAGTAATTTCCAATCGATCTTACCGGGGCCTCGGTGGCCAAGTGGTCTAAGTAGTTCTACTACTGTAATCACTAGCCAGTCAACACTGAGGTTGTGAGTTCGAACCCCGCTCGTGTGGGTGCACTCAACTCCAATCTTAATTGACTATGATTATCAGTTTTCCTATCGAAGGTCGGTGGTTTTCTCCGGGCACTCCGGCTTCCTCCGCCAATAAAAACTGGCTGCCACGAAATAGCCCAAAAGTGGCGCTTAAAAGTGGCGTTAAAACACTAACAATCAATCAATCAATCAATCCAATCGATCTTAGCGTTATTTAAAGTTGACAAAATTGTTCATTCTCGTATACAAGAGATTTTAGAAAATTTAGATTTCTTTTAATTTTCTTTCATTAAAATATTTTTCTGCAAGAGAAAATAAAAAAAAAAAAAAATAAAGACGCTGATTGAGTAGTTTTGGGTTGATCACCAACGGAAGTCTTAATCCCCACTTTATACACAGCCAAGCTCATTAGTGTATGATTACGATTAATTGTTTTTAAAACATTTTAAATAATTTTTCATAAACTATAACAATGTATCACTAATTATTTATCATGGTGATCAAAGAATCTTAAATAAACACTCGTGGAAAAAGCATGTCATAAATCAATACAGTGGTCAATGACCGGAAATTTAATTACATGTGTATTGTCAGATTAACTCTTCAATCCATTTAAATCCCCAAGGTCATGTTTTGACATATGTGTTTTGATTCTAGATAAATAATGAATTTTGAATGGTTTTGTTAACCTTGGGACCATAAATTTAGTTCGAGTCAACCGAAATTTCGACTCATTCAATCTCGACTCATCAGGAGTCGAAATACATATATTTATATGGAACAAAGTTCCGGACCACGAGAAAACTTCGACTCATCCGAAATTTTGAGTCAACCGAGTTCAAGACAACGAGAGTTAACTGTTTATAGAATATTGCATTTTAAGCATTCTCACACCTACATTTCTTTTAAGATTGTTATGAAATTTATATCATAGGTTTATATCAGCAATGTCTTGGGTGATTTTGAAAATCAGTGCTGATCTATTATTTTTACAGGAGTTGTGCAGTGGAGGATCCAGAAATTTTCATAAGTGGGGGCCCACTGACTGCCTAAGAGGGGGCCCACTGACTGCCTAAGAGGGGGCCCACTCCAGTCATGCTTCAGTGATTCCCTATATAATCAACCAAATTTTTCCCACAAAAGGGGGGGGGGGCCTGGGCCCCCTAAATCCACTTCTGTTGTGTCTCATTTAAATGTAATTTATATTGAACATTGTATTATTAGCACCCTCACACCTACAATTCTTGTCAATTGTAATGACAATTACATTAAAGGCTTTTATTAACAAGATCTTGTAGAAGATTGATGTTTATTTTACAAAAGTGTTGAGGAACTTTCTCTTTTATTTGGTGTAAATTAATTCAGTACATTGTATTTTTCAATAAGACATTTCTATGAATTATCTTACTGAAGGAATTAGTACATATACTGAACTAGTACTTGTAATATGTAAACATTCAGTGTTCACAGGATTGGTATTTTGTGTACATTAACTTGTTAACATTTGTACATGTGTTTTGTTAATAAAAATAACTTGGTTTTGTTGCATAAACAAAGAATCTGTACACCATCTAAAATATTTACAGTGACATTATTTTTATACCCCAAATCTAGAAGAGGTATTTATATTGCATTCAACTCTATTAGTTGGTCTATTAAATATTTTAGTCCCTTTTCTCCAATACTTATGAACAGAATGACTTCATATTTGGCAGCAGCTTGACATTAGTGAGTTCTAATGTGAGAGCACTTTTCATATCTGTCAGATACTGTAAATTCAGAAATTATTGTGATTTTTGAAGAATTGACAAAACTGCAAGATTAATTATTGCAATTTAAGAAAAATATATATAAAGATTTATGTATCAAATTTATGAATGCGAGTTCTTATTATTGCGTGCCTACCCAGTCGCATTATTCCCATTAATAAAACCTCACAATAATTCTGAAATTACAGTATCTACTTCTTGTTTACCAATTTATATCATAAAATATCATAAAAATGTTGAATGAATTTAAAAGTTTTGCTCACACATTTCTCCAGTACTACTAAGCTAAACAGAATGACTACATAGTTGGTTAGCAGTGGTGAGTTGTAACGTGTGAGAGCTTGTATCATTTGTCATCTATTTCCTGTTTTTATACGACCGCAAAAATTAAAAATTTTTTGGTTGTATATTGCTATGACGTTGGCGTCGTCGTCGTCGTTGTCCGAAGACACATTGGTTTTCGCACTCTAACTTTAGTTTAAGTGAATGGATCTCCATGAAATTTTACCATAAGGTTCAATACCACAAAAGGAAGGTTGGGATTGATTTTGGGGTTTATGGTACCAACAGTTAAGGAATTAGGGGCCAAAAATAAGCATTTTTGTAACTTCCAGACATAACTTGTGTGTAAGTGTATGGATCTCTCTGACATTGTACCACAAGGTTCCATATCACAAAGGGAATGCTGGGATTGATTTTGGGGGTAATTGCCTCAAAATTTTAGGAATTAGGGGCCAAAAAAGGGGCAAAATAAAACAAGCATTTTTCTAGTTTCATGATGATAACTTGTGTGTAAGTGTATGGATCTTTCTGAAATTGAACTACAAGATTCCATATCAAAAAGGGAAAGCTGGAATTGAGTTTGGGGGTAATTGGCCAAAACGTTTAGGAATAAGGGACCAAAAATAGCATTTTTCTAGTTTTCAGACAATTACTTGTGTTCAAGTGTATGGATCTCTCTGCAATTGTACTGCAAGGTACCATACCACAAAGGGAAGGCTGGGATTGAGTTTGGGGGTGATGAATCATAAGGGGGTTCAAAAAATTTGGGGGGGGGGGATTTTTTTTTTCCTTTTTTTTTCTTTTAAAATTTTCCATTTTAAGTTGGTTATTTCTGATTTATATTTAAAAGCAAATAATAATGATATGGTAGGAGATACACACCAAACAGGATGTGTAAATTATTATATAATAAGTATTGTGCAATAGCAAGAAATTTTCAATTGCACAGTATTGCACAATAGCAAGAAATCTTCACTTGCACAGTATTGCGCAATAGCAAGAAATCTTCAATTGCACAGTATTGCGCAATAGCAAGAAATATCCAATAGCGCAATATTGCACAATAGCAAGAAATTGTCAATTGTACAGTATTGCGCAATAGCAAGAAATATTTAATTGCACAGTATTGTGCAAAAGAAGATACTTCGTATAAATTGCTTATTTCTTGACCAATTTCAATGGCCATTGGGGTTTTATTCTTGAATTCTTGGGGTTCTTTAATATGCAGAATCTAACCGTGTATTAAGTTTTTGGATTGTGGGCCCCGTTTTTAAATTGGTCCACATTGAGGTCCAAAGGGTCCAAAATTAAACTTTGTTTGATTTCATCAAAAATTGAATTATTGGGGTTCTTTGATATGCCGAATCTAACCGTGTATTTAGATTCTTAATTTTTGGTTCCGTTTTCAAATTGGTCTTCATTAAGGTCCAAAGGGTCCACAATTAAACTTAGTTTGATTTTAACAAAAATTGAATTCTTAGGGTTCTTTGATATGCTGAATCTAAACATGTATTTAGATTTTTGATTATGGGCCCAGTTTTCAAGTTGGTCCAAATCGGGGTCCAAAATTAAACTGTTTGATTTCAACAAAAATTGAATTCTTGGGGTTCTTTGATATGCTGAATCTAACCATGTATTTAGATTTTGGATATTGGACCATAATAGGTGAATGTCCAATTTAAAATTTTTAAGTTCTTAGACCACATTCATTCTGTGTCAGTAACCTATGCTGTTTCAAATATTTAATCACAATCCAAATTCAGATCTGTAACAAGCTTGAATGTTGTGTCCATACTTGCCCCAACTGTTCAGGGTTCGACCTCTGCGGTCGTATCAAGCTGCGCCCTGCGGAGCATTTTATTAACTATGAGATGGGGTATGCTTATACATAAAAATAAGAAGATGTGGTATGATTGTCAATGAGACAACCCTACACAAGAGACCAAATGACACAGAAATTAACAACTATAGGTCACCGTACAGCCTTCAACAATGAGTAAAACCCTTACTGCATAGACAGCTATAAAAGGCCCCGAAATGACAAATATAAAACAATTCAAACAAGAAAACTAATGGCCTGATTTAAGTACAAAATGATGAACGAAAAACAAATATGATAAACAGCAACAAAGGACAACCACTGAATTACAGACTCCTGACTTGGGACAGGCACATACAGAATGCGGCAGGGTTAAACTAGTTTGAAGCGCCAATCCTCCCCCTATAACCTGGGACAGTAACTGTACAACATAAGAACAAACTATAAAAATCTAGCCAAAACATGCATTCTTGTTATTATTAAATTAATGAGTAAAATTCCTATTACAAACCTGTAGGAACCATCAAATCCAAATACAAGTGTTTAAGTCATGGGCTATTCCATGCCCAGGTTTGATACAAGATTGTCCCCAGCTGGGGATATGGCAATGGTCCGTCTGAAGCACATAAATACTCAGAGACAGAAAGGGTTTAATACTTGGTAGGATTAGTTGTTGTCTTTTTCCATGCTATATCATCAGTTTGATTGCTGATTGTTTTACGCCGTATCAGCACTCATCAGTTTGAATTAATTTTCATATATTTAACAGTTAAATTTTGTGTACACAACTCCTCTGAAACCATTTGACAGATAGATCTTGTACTTTGTATGATTGTTTGCCATCATGTGTTGTTGACCATATTATACTGCCATTTTACATGAGTAATGGGACTTTGACCATTTTTACAGGAGTAATGGGACTTTGACCATTTTTACAGGAGTAATGGGACTTTGACCATTTTTCTTCTAAATTGTACCACAATCACACTTTAAGAATGCAAATCTTCTAAGACAGAAAACTCTCATAATTAGTCCCCTACCGACGAAGTTATGGACCATAATGTTAGAGTACTTTGTTAAACCATATTTCTGTACAAAGGGAGATAACTCATTTTTTAAAAGGCATTCTTTGTTAAATTATTTGAAGAATTTTTTGGCAGGTTTGTTTGTTATTTAGTATAAACTAATTTTCTGAATGCTATAATCTTTCAATCAGTTTAATTGAGGTCTGGAGCTGGCATGTCAGTAACTGCTAGTAGTCTGTTGTTATTTATGTATTATTGTCATTTTGTTTATTTTCTTTTGTTTCCTATTCTGACATCTGACTCGGACTTCTCTTGAACTGTGTTTTACTGTGCGTACTGTTGTACGTTTGTTTTTTCTACATTGGCTAGAGGTATAGGGGGAGGGTTGAGATCTCAAAAAACATGTTTAACCCCGCCGCTTTTTTGCGCCTGTCCCAAGTCAGGAGCCTCTGGCCTTTGTTAGTCTTGTATCATTTTTAATTTTAGTTTCTTGTGTATAATTTGGAGTTTAGTATGGCGTCCATTATCACTGAACTAGTATACATATTTGTTTAGGGGCCAGCTGAAGGACGCCTCCGGGTGCGGGAGTTTCTCGCTGCATTGAAGACCCATTGGTGGCCTTCGGCTGTTGTCTGATCTATGGTCGGGTTGTTGTCTCTTTAACACATTCCCCATTTCCATTCTCAATTTTATAGATATAAAAAAAAAATTATGATAATAATCTATTTTTATTAATGTATATATTTCAATACATTACATTGTGTAGATAAATGTTGTTGACATAGATAAGTTACAAATCTATATTAGTTTGTAACAAATGAAAGAACAAATATTTGGAACTATTAATTATATTTGATTATAATTTGAAAATAGATATACACTGTATTACATCATATCTAATTTTAGAGAACTATTAATCATATCTAATGTTTTTTTCACTCATATAATCAGTTTTCCACACTGTTTTTAGTCATGCTTGAAGATATTGACATATCATATTTACTTTTTGTTTACACCATGACAAGTTATAGAACAAGTTAGCATTTTGTTACAGTAAAATGAATTTTTACCCGGTAGGGGACTATGTATTGCCATGCAATACTCTCAGAATGCTTGTTAACTGATGTGTTAAGTTCATGGACTGTACCCTTGGCCAATTTTTATCGAAAAGATTTGCTTTTTCCTTAGCTAAGCTTCATCTCAAGTAATCTTTCATGTGTTAGAGATCATGAATTCTATTTCTGGTCAGTTTGGATTGTAGCATGACCTTCAAGTGTTTTTATAAGGTGATTGGTTAATTTCCCTGGTCAGATTTGGTTTCAACATGTAGATTAAAGAATTATTAGAATACTGGATCACTGAGCACCTAATAGAACAAACCAATAACTTAGGCAGTTTACAAGATAATAGACAAAACTTCATTTTGCCCCTTTGTTCTATTTTGAGCCTTGTCTCCCATGTTGGTTGGCAGGCAGGATCATCAGACACTTTTTTTTTTATAACAAGCTATAGATACCCCAATTATGATAAGATTGGTTCCAATTGGCCCAGTAGTTTCAATTGAGAAGATTTTCGTAATGGTTAATGGATGCAAACTGATGAGAAAACCTCACTTGGCCCTTTGGGCCAGGAGAGCTTAAAATA